CTTCTGCGCACTCGAGGGATACCGGCCCTAGCTTGTCTATGTGCGCCTATTATGAATTCTTCTTTCTCTTCTCCCTTAGGTGTGATCAGGCGTTAGTGAAGAGTGTACGGATTTTTGACGATGTCCCCATGTTTGTCCCCTAGCTGGTCATTGATTTTCGTTTGTGCTTTCTGTGCTTTTTGTCGTTTAGGCCATATGGCCGTAATTGAATTATGAATCTAGAGTCTTTGGGCTATATGCCGGTGCAGTTCGCCCTCTCAATTATTCGTGACTAATGGATGAGTATGCGAGTACTCTCAACTTCATCCTAACGATTTGGAACCACCGTAGCAATTAAACTACGTGTGCGCGACTTGTTGATTTGGTCATTGATTTTCATTTGTGCTTTCTGTGCTTTTCATCGTTTAGGCCATATGACCGTAATTGAATTATGAATCTCGAGGCTTTAGGCTATATGCCGGCGCAGTTCGCCCTCTCGATCATTTGTGACTAATGGATGAGTATGCGAGTACTATCAACTATACACAGCGGGGGGTGTGGGATCTCTGGAACGGGCAAAGCACATTCTGGGAACCTTGGAGAACTGTTAAAACAAAAATCAGTGACCGTAGAAGAAACAAATGAGGGGGCCCGCTGGGGTTTTCTGGGGTGCATAGTACATTTGAAGGGCAGATGGGGTTATGTGCGTAGCATTGCACGAAAATAAGTGATCAGTAAAGGAAAGCAAAAAAAAAAAAAGAAAAAAAAAAAAGGGTTGCGGTTCCAAAGTCGGCAGAAGTTCTGAAGTTTGAGCAGTCGGCAGAAGAAGCTGGCGGTAATCAAGGCTTGTTTTCATCGGGCGAGAAACTTCAGTTCCATTCCAGGGGCAGAGCAAAGAGCTTTTCTGTTCACATTGAAAATTGACTTCGGGCTCCCCGTGGTTTTGTAAATGACTTTGTCGACACTGCATTGACTAATTTCTCTCAGAAATCCGGAGAGATCTGGCAGGACTGGGTAAGGTGCTTTCACAGGATGGGATCAGTTCCAGGGTTTAGTTGGGGGACCTTCGTGTAGGGATGGACGATAGAACGGCGTCCAGTACCTGTCTGCGCATGATCGCAGCTTAGGCCATTTAAGGTTCTGTCCTGGCCTTGAGCACCCGTCTCCACATTGTTTGTCCTTGTGCTTCTACTTTCCTTCTGCTCTATCCACCATCACAACGGGGAAGCGCCAGATGAAGAAAGAACCTCCGTGCTCAACTCGTTTGTAATGCACAGTGTTGGGCATAAGGTCATTTAGCACATATGCCAGAACACATATGCAAAGACGAGTTCCTCCAATCCTTTAACCGTAGTAGTTCGCCACTTGGCTAAACCACCAGTACTTCCTAAAGCCGTGTCCATAAACAAGCTGCGATTTCCAGAATCGTACAGGCCACTACAGAGCACCCAAAGTCACCCGACTAGAGGGGTTGATAAGAGCAGCCGCCTCTTGTAACTGTCCCCGGCTGCTCCATCTATTGGTGGGGAGCTGCACCTGCAGGAAACCGGGTCCAGCGTCCCCCTGTATAACGAGATCATCCCCCAAGAATAGTTCGAGAACAGTCCGCCAGAAACGACGTTTCTACTCTATTTTTACCCGCGGTCTACAGCTGGGTGAAGTACTGGTGGTTTAAGTGAGGCCTGGTTAGAACAGTGCATCTTTCTTTCTTTCTTTCTTTTTTACGGGTGGTTTAAGTAAGGCCTGGTTACAGCAATGCATCTTTCGTTTGTTCGTTCGTTGTCTGTTCTTCTTTGAGGCGTTCGTTGTCTATTCTTCTTTGAGGAAAAAATGCAGCTGTCTTCTCCTCATATGGGGGACAGTTGTAGTTTTCTTTTTAACTAAACTATTGTCCTGCGTAGCACGGCAAACGTGTTCGCGGCCCTTCCCGTTCAGGCGAACACGTTCTCCCGTTCGCACGAACAGCGAACGTGTTCTCGGCGCCTGCGAACGGGGTTCGTCCGGGCTGGTACCGGTCGCCAGCAGGGCGTTGGAGGGGCCAAGGGAGCGCTGGTGTGTGTGTGTGTGTGTGTGTGTGTGTGTGTGTGTGTGTGTCGAGGACTTTCCTACTCGATGTCGTGGAAGGACGTCACGAAGGCCATACTCAAACGATCACTTTCCATAATGCATCTGACCACTATTACGGGGAGAGGAAAACATTGTTGTTTTTTCTTTTTTTATCCTGGCGCCCCGTGTTCCTCGATCTGCCAATGTGCCCTCACTGAGGGCAGTACTCCAAAAAGTGTATCCAACTGCAATCACGGCCAAAGCTTGTTTTCTTTTTTGGGGCTTTTTTGTTTTTTGTTCTTATTTGGTGAGTCTGACAGTCGTGCTCCCCTTGTTCCTCGTTCTGCCAAAGTGCCCTCACTGAGGGCGTCGCACACGAAACGAAAAACGAAACAGTGCATCTTCTGGTAGAAAATGGCCAGGTTCATCAGTTTGCTATACATACTACATAGTAACGAGTGTATTTTTCCACCTTTCGTGGGCAGATGCACTCGCTTAATTTTCATTTCGTGTGCCGTGCGGCGAGGCCCTGAGGGGCACACACACATACACATAGATACACACACACACACACACACACACACACACACACACACATACACGACTCTTAGAGCAGGGGGGGAGGTTTAGGGACAGGCCTATGACCCCCGACCCCTAAAAAAAAAAAAAGAAAAAAAAAGACGTTCGCACCTGCGCAACACACATTCGGGCGAACGTGTTCTCGTTAGCCGGCGAACGCGAACGGCGTGCAACGCAGCTATCGTCTTCTCTCAATAACCCTCACATTAGCTAGCCATGTCTATGGCCAGGCTTAAATGTACTAAGCACTGTAAGCAGGCCCAAGCTATCGTAAAGTTATGGGTCTACGCCTACCTAACTGTGCTCTGTGTTGGGAGCAGCACCCAAGCTCCTAACAGCTGGTGCGGGCTGGGAATTGATCAATTTCCACAACCAGCCATGGAGGGACAAGCCGACTTTGTCAGTCGGGGGGCCTGAAGTATAACGCACGGGAAGTCCTGGGGAATCGAATGGATGCCATGGGGAATCGAACCCACAACCTCCTGTGTACCACTCTTACGTGCTCGACCAACTGAGCTAGGCCACTTCGCCTACAACAATGCATTCTGAACCTGTGCGATTGAGAACTTCTGCAATATCTTCGATTCAACCAGTATCACCTGGTGATTACGATGGTAGATTCACCAGGGATACCATAATGGGTAGAAGAGCGTGTAATACCCATGTACGCTCACTGTATCCGGCATGAATTGCGCGTCAAATAGGAGCCAGAAGACTGTTCAGAAGGATTGAAACCTCGCATTGCCATAAGGCTACCTACTTTTTCGAGAGAAAAACATCCCCACCAGGACTTCTTCAACTTCTACCTGGAGACACTGGCAGTCAGAGACATCCAGAAGACACTGCAATTGTGGTCAGATACGTTCAGCTACGTTCCCAGCGTGAAAAATGTTCGCAAAGCACAGGAATGTCATACATGCTGATCAGACAGAGAAGGGTGGCAGATCTACTCTAAATGGCAGATCGACTCTAAGTTGACACAATGGACTGTCCATGCCGGTGGGGTGGAGCTTGGTTTATCCGCTCAAGTGTTGGGAGAGAACAAGGTGATCTGGTTTATGTTGTGCTGAAAGAAAGAAGTTGGCATCCGACGATGTTTTGTATCAGTGTACTTGTCCTTCGCGGAGAACGCACAGAAGATGTTTTCCCTATCTTCCTTGAGACGGACTGTCTATGGTGATGGGAGCCTTGGTTAACTGGTCAAATTTTGAATGGTACCTGGTCGAAGTTTATGTTGTTCTGAGAGAAAGAGGCTGGCATCGGAAGAAGGCTCGATTAAATACATCCGACTTTTCGCCTCTCCTAGCTTCACAACCTTCTTGCACCTTACGCACTTGCTTTTTGCACTTTCCCTACGATCACGAAGTGCACATACAGCCCCCCACCCTCCATCCTCTCTCTCTCTCTCTCTCTCTCTCTCTCTCTCTCTCTCTCTCTCTCTCTCTCTCTCTCTCTCTTCCCTTTGCTCTCTCTCCCGCGCAGACTGTTCTTAGTGCTGACTGGAAGATCACTATCAGCAGCAAGCCTTTACACGCAAGTTTCGCACAGGAGAATAGCTCCATGAAACTACAACTATGTTGGCTGGTTCACATAGCCTTCTGGAATTGCTGTCTTTGACTCACTCAGGTCCTCAACGAGCAGTACAACCCCCTGCCCACGGTATTCCTGCCCTCTCTTTTCTCTCAATTTAATCATCCCTCAGAGTTCTTCTCCTCATTCAAATGTGAAAGGAAAAGATCCTCACGCACAGATGATAGATGCAGAAACATCTTCAAAAGACAAAAGAAAGAAAGGAAAAGGACACGAGTCCGCCAAACAGCATGTCATGCATCTGCTCTCTTCAGGTCATCTTCATGGCAACCACAAAGCTTGTCCTCTGGGACAAGAAAGATAGCCGTGAAATCAAGATAACCATGAAATCATCGTCACAAGTCCACGAGGCTAAGGCTATTATTAGCTACCACCTTCCGCCGACTCCTGGGGTCAGCTTCTCCATTACACGGTTCATAGCCATCTCCTCCATCTCCCCCCTCTCGCTTTCACCCTCCCCTCCAACCAGCGCTCCCACTTCAACAACCCCTTCCCCCCCCCCCCCCTCTCTCGACCTTTACTCTTTACCTGTCGTCCTGCATAGCAGGCTTCTTAACCAGCGTAGGGTTCCTAGTCCGCAAACAAATGTTTCGATTCCAATGGCTCGGCGCTCGCTAAATAGTTGTAGCACCTGATTCACAACCAACAACCAATCCCAATGGCAACAGCACCTGAAGCGCAATCTGCGATTCCAACGTTTCACAGAAATCGTCCAGGATCATGGTGAACCCTTTCGTTTTTTTTGTGTTTCACGGGCCCTCCACAGCAACGCTTTCCTCTTTTCCTAGCCTGTGCGCAAGCACCTATCTTCCAAAGGATTCCAAACTATCTTCCGACGAGCTGCTGCACAGGACAAATAGTTTGCAATCAATCCTCTATCGCCCGACTTCTCTCCTTCACCTTTCCTATTCTTGCACTTTCTTCGAACCGTCCGCTCTCTCATCATCCAGGTCATCATCCACTCTTTCAGACCATATTGACAAAAACAATGTGGCTTTTCGTTCCGTCAAACAGACACGCACGGCTCAAGCTTTGCCCATCTTATTAAGAAAGATGTCTATTTTCGCCACATCTAGTTTAAAGTCTAAACTTTAAAACAATTTTCTCCACAAGTGGTTTCAAACAATAAGAGCACTGTTAACACATTTCGCATCGAATTAGCAGAGACCCCCATGTCTTTTCCTGTAAGCAAGCCCATAGGGGGGGGGGGTACCATGGCATCAAGTGTTCCCTACCCTCACGCACCTTTTGGTCAAAACTCTCCATGCCTTCCAATACTCTCTGGGGCATCTCTGGTCAGTCACCCACCTTGCAAAAAGGGAAACAAATGAGCAACCAGCCAAGCAATGCTGACAATTGCAGCTTCCTTCCCGAGAACATGTACTAAAAATAGTAAAAATTGCCATTGCCCACCCAGCGATCGCTACCAGTCCAAGAGAAAGCAATGCCGAGAGGAACCAACCAAACACCGCACATTCACTGTGCGAAGATGGTTGCAGGACACAAGATGGCAAACAGCAAGAGAAGGCGATGACGAGAGGAACCGACACAGCAACAGACTCATGTCTCGCATGTGCGTATTTTTACTTTTACGAAACAGTGCACCGCCTTTGACTGACATGATGCGAGCATGCTGAAGACGATGGACACAGAGCGAGTGCCAACAACCAAAGAATAAGCACACTGACACGAACTGAAATCACAACAACATATCCATGGCGGGACAACGGTGGGACCAGGATGGGGTAATGACCGCTAAATAGTAGCCTAGGGCCTAGAGTGCAAAATCACAGCATATTGACAGGTCCTCGGATCGGCATGAAGTAAAACCACTCCCCAGGAGAACCTCCTCACCATGCATTTTCCCGGGGGTGGAGAAATGAACTGCCTCTACCAAGTCTCCTCGCATCTCTGATCCCTGGGTAGAACCTTATTGAAGAAGCATGCCCCCCCCCTTTCGTGCTTTCCCTCCCTCCGACTCCTCAGATCATTGAGCTTTCTTCACACTCTGTCACCTCACTTCTTCACCGTAGCAGCATAGGAATGCAAGCAAAATCACCATGCAAGTAAAACCTATTCTCAAAAGATGATGCCAAGATCGGCTCCAAACCGGACCGGTCCAAAAGAACCATCTTCTCGACATCAAGGAGGCGGTTTGGTATCAGTTCGCACAGCCACGTGCAAAATATCATTCGACCGAGCCAATGCGCAATCTCACAAAATGTGAATAGAATGTATCGAGTAAGAGATCACGATTCCCAATCAAATCCATATGGAGGACAAACTAGCTGTGCCCAATAAGTGGGCAAGGGCGGCCAAAGACAAAGGGGAAAGGGCAAGAATAAGAACAACGATTGATTATTATTCCCAGCAATAAAGAACCCAGCAGTATACCGAGGCTAATAAAAGCAGAAGATTGGTTAAGTATCATCTACACAAGGACGAATAATAGACATTCAGACTTTGTAGTGCTGTGCTCCCTAGCAGTAGGAGAAGAAACTTCTCGCCTTGAAAGCCCTGGTGCTCTGAACCAGCTCAGTTTAGGATCGTGGAGTCTCCCCAGACACAGTAGCACAAGGCAAAAAGAATCCACTTCACCAAACCAGCTGGCCTGTCATTCGCAATGCAATAGCGGAGCCTAGAGGCCCTCCTACCTCTACAGAGACTGCTCTGAGTAAAGAGCTAACGCATCCCCACACGCCATGTACTGCACTTCCCTCAACTACCTCTGCACTATTCTGATGATTAATGCTAAAGCCTCTCCTCAAACTGCCCTCTCCCGATCTTCCCTCTACCTCCCTGTCTCTTTTGTCACTAAATCCGGAGTGGAAGAAATGCAACGTTTATTGTCCTCTGTCCTAAATTGGTCAAAATAACAAAGACACGGACGGCTACTCAACCTCCGGCCGGCGGACAAGAACCCTTGCAGACGGCAAGTCGGAGCGTTCGATCCATCAGGATATTCAAGCTCATCTCCAGACAGTGGCACGATGCAAACCACAAATTCAAAGGATTCCTTCATTGGAATATCATTGTTACATTTAGATGATTTCACAACGCCCGAGTGCTCGAGCATTCAAAGGATATTCAGACCAACGCCGCCGCTATCCGGTCTCTGCAACACCTGACCGAGCACTCGAACTGTGCCATGGTGTGGGTGGAAGGGTGTGCAACACCTCTGTCCACAAGACCACGGAGTAATAACACCACTGTCATAGAAAACGTGTTGGTTGGAGGAATAACACAACTGTCATAGCAACTCTCCTGAGGATAATGACAAAGCCCGACTTGATCAAACCAGGATGATAAAGCCACTGTAACAATATTGTCTGTTTGGCAACCTTTCTCTCGCTAAGAAAAGGCCACGGAATCTCTCTCCTGAGGACAAGAAATCATTCACTAGTTTCGAGGGATGCTAATGCACAAAAACAATTCCCTCTGAGTGTTCGAACGAACCAAGCCAAGAACTACGGACGGCAAATTGAAATCAGAAATGTTTGCACATTATTTCCACCTCTCTAAAGCTGAGAAGTTGAAAAGTCTCCCTCAGAATCCCTTCATCCAAAGCGGAGATAATTTCACCTTCACTCTCTCTCAAGAGCTGAATACAAACCGCCCAGGACCGCCTTTCCACCCTCCACAGTATTTCCACCATCGTTCTCCGAAGCTGGAAACTCTTCCCTGCCCCACCCTCCTCCCTTCCTCTTTTCACAGTCCGATTCCCTTCACTGAAGCTCCTGGGATGGCAGTTCGGGTGCGAAAGAGAAACGATGCAACCTACCTGTCAGAACCCCTTTATCCGAAGCAGAGACATTTCCAATTCCATTCTCTCTCTAGAGCTGAATACAAACCACGCCACACCCCCTTCCTCTCATCGCCCAGCCTGATCCCTTCCTCCCACCCCCCTCCTCTCATCGCCCAGCCTGATCCCTTCCTTTCACCGAGGCTCCTGCGATGGCAATTTCGGTACCAAAGAGAAACCACACTACCTAGCTATCAGAATCCCTTCATCCAAAGCGGAGATAATTTCACCTTCCCCCTCCTCTCATTGCCCATGCCTGATCCCTTCCTTTCAC